TTACGTTTTGAAATTACAGTGTTGCGCCTTTGGCAATAATTATTTTCTACAACTAACCACCATATTTTTGCGTCTGACATAAAATAGCCATTACAAGAAATATAAAATTACCCCATAGTTTGTGAATAGCATTACCTTGAGCTAACAAATTCATTTTCGCATGCAGGTATACAAAATATTTTCCACACAATTGCACAAAAACCTTTACAGTATACAGGTTAATTAAAAAAGAACAGGTATATATCTAATTCCTACTTCCAAGCTGTCAAGGAACACCTCGAAATGAGGCTAACGTCATTCACACGTTCCTAGTGAATGACCTTCTAGAACACGAATAGTCGCCAGTAGATCTCTCAGGATGACAGATCCTAGATAGGGTGCCCCCATCGCAGATCTGTTGCTTGGTTCATATCAGTACAGGGGCACCTCAGAAGGAATCCTGTGATTTCCAGGCATCGAATTTTTTTTGTCAGAATGCATCGAATTTCTTGAAGGAAATTTTACAACCAAACACCTTCCTCCGAAAACATTCGAACTTATTTTCGTCATTTTCAGGGCAGTTAATGCTTATGCAAAAAAATAGTTATATTCGACCGCGAGTGTTTGAGACTTGCTAGTGAATTATTTAATGATTATCATTCACCCTTCTAGTGGTACACTAGCATATGCAACTGCCAATGTACTTCAAATCACTTCAACTATTTATAATGGGCAGATAAAGTACGTTTATAAAATAACACAGATATATACAAGTACACAGAAACACCTCGTATCAAAATATTGATGATGCATTGCTCAAAATCTCGTGCCTTCTGCAGCTGCAGATACTTGTGAGCGATAGCCCACGCGGCAGGCAGCCAAACATCTCGTACTAGTAAAATCGAAACTTCATGGCTTTGCCATCAGAAATGTCAATGCAGAAATTGCACGTATCCCTTTAATTACGTGCGGCTAATTTATGACTCGTCGCGATACCTTTACACTAGTGAGGCATTTTTCAAATCCAACTGCTGCCAGCTGATCCATCTCGTCTGCTCACACGCCGAGCGGCAGACGTCGTGCGCCTCTGAACAGCGCCTGTCTGGACGCCGTTTTACACTGTCCGTCAGTTTTTCCATTACTTCTAGGCTGTCCGGGTGACGCCGCGTCGTTGGCAGATAGGCCGACGTTTCGCCTGTCATGTCGCAGGCTTCTTCAGGGTACTGACATGGTAAAGCTCCGCCTCCGGTGTTATATCTTATTCAGCTAGTGGTCGGGCAACGCAAGTGCGCCGTGATTGGCGGAGAGGTCCCTCTGATTGGCTCACGGTCTGGGCCAACCCGGGCCTCGCACCCGCCGTCCTAGAGATCGGACGGAGAGGAACAGTCCCCGCGCCGTCGGGCATCGGTGGAAGAATATACTTCCAGGCGTGGCTTAGATTAAGGCCTGCATCCGCGTTGATGTTTTGCGGCCGTCTACTGATTTCTATTGCTTCTTTTACGCGTCTAGGCCAGTATCGATTTTCACTGTGTAGGAGCCGGGTCTTATCGAATGCAATAGCATGTCCTGTGACCTTGGCTCCCACCTTTTATTGATACTCTCAAATCGGAAGCTTATTGCGGTAGATCAAAAAACATAAGCGGAGCAGATAAGCCATTCTGCCGCACGTTGACATGCAGGGTGGCGCCGGATCTCATCATCCAATGGGAGAACACCGGTAATAACAATATTCACTTCACTTACCAGAATAATGACCATAGCAGTTGACGGAAACACGAAAAAATCAGTGATTCAAACATTAGCGTTTCACACACAAGGGACTTAATGTGACCCACAGAAAAGAATAGTGACCTGGGAAGCCAAACAGCGTTTCGGCTTCTGCGTATAACGGCCTCAGGCAGATACTCCCAAACGAAGGAGGCGATACGTACGCATGCTTTGTCATGTTGTAGACACATGTGGAGCTCCACAGCAAAGAGGCATATCATCCAGAAGAATATGCAGCGTCTCCTGCACAAACATATGATACACGGGGACACTGGGACTTGTCGTCAATATCACAACCGAAGTAATTTGAATTTGTCGTAAAAAAACACCTACGGAGCAAAGTTCGCTGGACACAAGTGTTGGAGTTACCTACCGATCAGGAAGCAATTTGAAAAATACTACGCATGTGGCTAATGAGATTTAAACCCAAATTTTAATTGGCAAATTTCAAACATACCAAATTACGTAATATCTAATGACTTAAATGATTCCTGATTCATCGAGAAAGTAAGATTTTGATTAAATGCACTAGAATTTTTAATCAACTGCTTGAATTTACCCTCAAACCTATAACTTCATTCAAAGTGACTCGTTTATCAGGACACATTGGAGCTCTTTTCATATATTACCTGCCCAGAAAAACGTGCCATGGAGATCAGCGTACGCCACCGAGCTCTCTGGCTGGCACTGCGCTCTTGAGAAACCGAGCGCCTCCGCCAGACTGCGTTAGCTACGGCGGCGCTATTAATTTCGCGACCGACCGCCAGAGCGCACTACCGGGCGGACGCCCGTCCGCCATCCGCGCCAGATTCCAAACAAACGACTCTCGCGAGATAGGCGCGTAACAAATGACTGCGCAGCGTAAAGTAATGGTTCCGCGGGCTCCCGCCAGCGCTGGATGCTTAACTAGGAAACTTAATTTACGGAATCGCGCGTCGGGAAAACTGCCACCGCATCCTCCCTGCCTCCCTCCACTCGATGACCTTGCTGCGCGGACCGCGCAGGACATCCGGCCGAACGACGGGTGGTATTTCGGCTCTTCAAGCAGATGATCGCTTCCAAAGTGTGGGACAGACCGGGGGATAGAGAGTGTGTTAAATTCAAGGGCTTTGATAAAACACTAGGAGAAGCTAGGGATGAGATGGGTGTTGTCTCGTTTGTTGAGACATCCAATTATATTAATTTTCACATTATTTGCATAATACTTCAACGAAATATGCCGGTTTTGTAAGACATCCTGGACATTGACACTAAATTTTCTCTAGAGACCTACTGCCCAGGAAGCATCAGTAGTATATTGTGCAACTACTTTATAATGTAATCCTTTATCCCATGAGTACAGGTTTTGAAGACACGCGACGCGTCGCGATGTTAGGAGCGAGATTTCAAATTTGTACGATAAAATACGCCCAGAACGAGACAAGCTCTAAGCTCCCGGACGATCTCCCGGCATGTGTGGTAGTGTAGTGAATGTTAGTGCGTGAGGATAGGGGGTGAGGATAGGACAAGGAAGAGGAAGGAAAGATCACGCGCGGTCTGTGCCCCGTTTGTTAGGGTTCTGCTCCGACATTTATCCGGTGTCGATTGGAGAAAAACAGAAAACTACCGATCAGAGCAGCCGTCCTGCTGAATTCGACTCGAACTCTAGGGCCTCCCAGTCAGAGTCGCCGCACAGACAGCGTTGCCTCGCCTTCGTCAACATGTAAGAAAATTTGCTCCAAACTTTTTTCGTGGACGTAGAGGACGTAATAGTCTTGAAATTCTGAAATCGATCTTCGAATGAGCTCGCGAGCCGGCTCGGCGAGAGAAAGAGAGGGGAGAGAACGAGAGGGAGAGAGGGAGAGAGAGTACTAAGTCAGTACACAGTAAAGTTAAAAACCTTTGAAATCTTCATTTTCATTAAAGTGGACAGGGATGTTTAAAAAATAGTAATTTTCTTGTAATATGACTTGTATACCAGTAGTTCACAAACTGTCGAGATTTATACAAATTATCTTCATAGAAAAGTAAGTAAACTGGTCTGCTCAGATTCCAACCATTCCCCTGTAAATTTATATTTTATTTAGATGTCACTGTTTCTTTTCTGCTGCACCGGTGATGTACGAATCCGAGGTCAGCGTTCGCTCCAACCCTAAGGTTGGGAGTGATGTCGAAGACAGAATAGATTGCGTCTCGTCCGTAACCCCTTGTTTGAAACACTGGCTCGCTTCTCACTAGAAACTAACCTTTGAAACAACCAATCAAATACGCTGGTCTCTAGAATTCTGAGCTGACGAGTTCTTGTTGTCCGAAGACCTCCCGCTCTACAGAGCTTCCCTAGCGAGTTTTCAGTTACGTTCTCTACTACCAGGGATGATTTATTACAAAACCGAATTTATTATAATCTCCCAATGCCACGGATATCCATTACAACAACAATAATTTTCAACATGCATATTCTGTTAACTAAACCCAAAATTATTTAAAAATAATGCGTTCTATCTGAAAACGTATGTATTATTATGTGACCATTTCTTACTACATGACACTTTTACTTACAGGAATGAATAGCATGATTTTATTTCGCACAACAAATATTCAGAAAAATGAATTAAAGGAAGCTGATCTATTCAGAAATGTCAGAACTTTTAAGTTACTCTCACAGACTGCAGAACAAACTGTGCCGACCTCAGCATTTTCAGGATTTCTTGAGGCCTTCGTTAATGAAGCTAATCTTACCCGAGAACACCCTCAAAGCAAGGCCTGCATAACGGGTACTTCAAGCGGTTACAAAGATTACCTGACTTCATTTACGAGCTATTCACTTTCATTCCCATTAGAAGCCTTGATGACTTTACGGAGCTCCCAAACGAGGAATGCAGCAGCTTACAAGATAAACCTGAATTGTTTCCTTTGATGTTGCTAACTCGGTTCGTCCTTGTGCTGCGCGAAACTAGATTACGCAAATCATCCCTCCTCGGTTAGTCGGAGAACGTTGTGTTCGCTTATGATGTTCTCCTGAAAAGAGAACACTCTCACACAGCGGTGAAGTGTGTTTGTAAACGACTCGAGAGATATTTTCATAAGATGTTTCTGATGCGAGAGTATGCAATTTCTGACGAGTGAAAGGAACCTACTATTATTGTGTGTGTGTTAACTACTTTAGATTATTACAGGTAGGAATTTAAATAAAACTAGACTGCATGTTAAAATTGTTGTTCAAAAGTTTGTTGTTGTTTTTTGTAATATTTAAAAAAGATATGTTTATTTTCCAGAAGAAAAGCAAGGTATTATCTGGACGTCAGCTTTACTGACCAAGATGATTGGCTCAAAATGAAGTCGAAAGGGCACTACTAAGAGGAATCCTGTGACATGACAGGCTTCACGTCCGCCTCTCTGCCAACGACGCGGCGTCAACCGGATAGCCAAGAAGTCATTGACTCGAGCCGCAAGCTTACGTGTACATTTTCATTGCTTACTCTGCTGTTGGTCGGAGGCAAAGGTTTTTTCTCTTAAAGCGTCTTCATATAGAACAAACATTTCGTATTTAGAATACTTAACAATCTAAAAACTGTATCCAGATGCTCTGGCATCTGGAAAAACAGATTTTGAAGATTTTGGACAGCGGTATGTTGGTACGTTGTTCTGCAACAATACAATGTCTTTCAATACTCCATCTCGGCATTTTCGTATGCAGAACCTAATTAATGTGCAAATGGTTTGCGTCTCATAGTTATTCAGCAATGAGCTGGCACGGGTGGCCCAGGGCGTCAATTGATGCCACTGCAGGCCTCTGACCGGGACGTGCTAGGGTTCGAGTCCTGACTGCGGCAGGGCTTTCGATGTTAGCTGCGTAGCGAGGCCGAATTCAGCTGCTTCCTTCGTGTAGGAGAATTCTAGCGGCCGACTGCTCTGACCGGTAGTTTTTCGTGTCTTCTCCATCAACGCCATGCGAATGCCGGAACAGTGCTCTAACAAACAGGCCACGAACCGCGCGCGATCTTCCCTTCCTCTTCCTTGTCCTTTCCTCACCCACTACTTCCATACCCACTAACATGCACTATACTACCTCACGAGAGACCAGTCGGGAACTAAGAACTTGTCCCCGTTGAGGCGGTGCCACGCTAGTGGGAGATACCTGACTGTGGAAAATCACCGCAAGGTGACGTAGGTCTACGGTGTATCTCGCCATCCAGCGAGGAAAAGTCATCACCGCCGCTTTTCGCAATAAAACATACACTACACTTAAAGTACGAATGACCTTAGCAGTTGACGCGCTCGGAATCAAACAGAATCGGTGACTAACTTGCCAAAGAGCGAATGAGGCTGCACATTCTGCTCTTTTCTCATTGTGCATGGTTGTTTGACTTGTTGCTTTGGAAGGGTACAAACACACTGATACACTCTTCGTTGAGGAAAACCATTACCCCTCATTCACCCTGAATACATTCAGATCACAAAAAACGATTACAAAACCTTGATCTTTTTGTGCAAATTGAGAGTGGTGCAATCATGTTTGCGGCACAACAACTCTAGCTGACGTGATTACGCTCAAACTTACCGTAAGTAAAGCAGACAATGTCGTCTTCATGCTGGTAAGTGCACAAAGCTATTCAGCCATTAAATAGTCGATTAGAAAGAAAGTGCGTATGCTTCTTGCTTACCATCGTACATTGCAATAAATGCTATCATGAAACTAGCTTACAAATATTCGCTTGCATAAACCTGTATAAATATTACAATATCTACGAGATTAACATGGCGAAATGTAATTTAACAGATATACATTTCAACATTATTATTTTTCCTCACATTTTTGAAAACTTCATGCTCCAAATAGCGTTCACTTTTTAAAAAAATGTTGATAACCTGATGTATTTATTGGGTGTGCAATTGGTTATTAAGTGAATTCCTTGCAGACCGTAAAATTGTTGGCGTCGCTGAACTGTACACAATACCAATTCCATTATCGATTAGAATGTATAATGAATAAAGCGAATGTAGGTTAAAGTTCCCTGCTGATGTATTGTTCGTCAAAAATGTACACTCCATTAGACTGGAACTTCTTTTAACACAATAATAGAGTCAGATGTGATACATCGTCTTTCCGAGCTAAATACGAACATATACAAAATATAAATTCAACTGAATGATGATGAATATAAGTTTAAAAAAATTTAAAAGAAATGTTTTTGATGAAGTTTACAAAAAATATAAAATCAGATTTAAACCACCCATTAATAGAGTACTGTCTGATACTCTCCCCCTATCTATTTCCTTCTCTCTCTCTCTTCTCGCTCTCTCTCTCTCTCTCTCTCTCTCTCTCTCTCTCTCTCTCTCTCTTTCAATATCGCACATGCGCGCATACATAATTTTTTTGTAAATAATGTATTGGAGGATGTTTAATTTCTAGGAAGTATTTCATATTGGAACATCTACGTTATAAATCCTTTCCTTCATAAACGAATGATGGTTCAAAAATATGCCATGAATTATATAGTGATATTTTAAAATCTATGACGTCACGTCCAGTCTTATTATTTTATTTCTGGCTCGAGTCTTTCGACATCGCCACCGGTACCTTTCCTTGCCTTCGGCTTCTAGCCTGCTTGTTCCTTCTCCGCCCGTTTTCATCGATATCACGACCTATCTGGGAAAAGGAAAAAACGGCTCCCGCCAGCTGGACCGAAGTCAAGACCACCGGATCATAAAGAAAAGTCGTTTCCTCAAGAACCGGGAAAATCCATAGCTGGCCTCCCCCGGCACAGGGCGCGCAGAAGTCCAGTGCGTAGAAAGATGCACAAGGTCGAAGCACTTTGAACATTTACAATTAACGTTCATGAATTTTAATTAAACCGCGTGAGTAATTTTGAGCGTAATATCGCAATGTCAGAGTGATTTTCACTTTATAATAAACACTTGTTTTGCCGTGACGTCAAAAACCTCTGCCCTTGTTCGAAATGTCCCGAAGTTCAGCAGAAGTGCCGAAACTGAAAGTAGAGCATGTTCGGTTCTCGCATGATTTCTCGTTGGGAAACAGCAGCAAGTCTTAAGAGCTACTCTAAACCTTTGGCTATAATCTTCATTTAAAAATTGAACGTTTTTATTTTATATCATGACAGAAAACGTGCTGCAAACCTCGATTTCGAGCAGTTTAGTCCAATTAAGGCAAAGTTAGCAAATAGTTTCTTTCTCAGTACGTCGCCATATTTACATACAGTTGACAATGGCAGCCATTGTCATGGTTTCGGAAGAGGCTATAGTGTTTCACCAACGGAAAGAGTTGAATTTAGCTATTCAGATTTGTGATTCAATTTAATTAAATGACAAAATTATACTTCAAGGTATATTTAAATATCTTTAAACAAATCACCTTGATTTTTCCCACTCAAAGACATCACATAATCGTTAGTCGTGTAGACGATTCAGCTCAATAAAACTTTTAATTGCACTGTATGTTGAAGTTTGTTTTCATTATATTTTCTATTGTACACCTAACGCAACCAAGCGGAGAAAAGAAAAGTCAAACTTCTTAACGGCCGCCGTTCATTAAGAATTTTACAATACGCTGAGCGTTAAGACCAATAACAACAAATGAGTTGTAGTTAATACTCACGTATGAACACTCCTATTACAAGAAAATATATTCTCTACATAAAGGTTGGTTTTTTTCTCATCAGAGAAGTGTTTTGAGAAAGTAAATTTTTTTGTAAAGACTATAAGAGGACTCTGGTGGTGGGGGTATGTATGAAATGCGACGACAGTTAATCAGCGCAGCTAAACTTCAGCGACTTCACGCGGTCACTGGCAGAACGTTTTAAGGCACTTTAGGCCAATGGCCACCAAGCTCACCTGTCAATTTAATTTACACATCCTTACACACACAGTAGATGGAGTTGTTGAAGTACGTGTATGCACTTCGTTATTGGCCGAAAAAATCCTAGATAATGTCGTCCTTCACCAAGTGATATCACTGGAAATTAGTTTGGTAGATAACTGCTGACAATTTTCGTCATTCCCTCCCCGCGTCTCCTGTACCAAAGTTGAGTCTCCTTCTCTGTGAAGTCTCTATCCCTATATCAGAACTGTACACTTAAATTGCGGACCGTTTTTGATTGGTTTTCCAAGTATAAGATGCACATAAATGCACCCATAATTGCACACCGAGAATTTCAGGGTTATGATGCCTCAGGTAACTTTACATTTTCATATCGTGAAGGCAATAAGAAGAAGATTATTCGACAAAGTATGAAATTAAAAATTGTTCATCGGATTTTCAGAACATCTTTATGACAGTTTTCATTTACAAATTCCTATCATCTCCCAAAAGCTTATTACTCGTGGTCATTAATGACTTTCCACAATAAATAATTCATCCATGTAGGCTGGGCTATCCGGGACGAGCCGCGTCAATGTCATGGTGGCTGACGTTTCGGCCAGCATATTGTGGCCTTCTTTAGAGCATACTGCTTAAGAAGAAGGCCACAATACGCTGACCGAAACGTCAGCCACCATGACATTAACGCGGCTCCTCCCGGATAGCCCAGCCAACATACACTCCGGCCGCGGAAGCCTACGCAACCAATAATTCATCCAGTACGGATTAGGAATTCTCTGATGATTTACCCTGTCAAAAAGTAAACGGTGGATCTGCGGAGTATATTTTTTAAATAAATCAGCATTATGTTTTCAATAACACAGTATCATCCCACTAGATTACTTTATGGAATAAAATATTATTGGCATGTCATTACATTTAAACATTTTTATTTAATCTATTAAAAGCCTTTTGGATGTTGACTAATCTTTGCTTTGTAAACAATTAAGACATTTACTTGTAGGATGTTTTTCGCGTCGCTTACTGTCTGTGAAGGAGTTGAGTTCGTCGACTGCGTGCTGCAGACGTAGAGTTCCCACGAATAGTCTCGACGCGCCTGGAAATCTACTGTTCTTTCGTGATGTTAATCATGAACGACAGTTAATGTCACTAAATTTAATATTTACTAACACAAACTATCAACATTGAATGAATCATTTCTGTGATGCGTCGGATGGACATTCTTATTCGACACTGCTTGCAAGCGCGTCAACTGGCAGCTTCTCGAGTGCTCGCCGCGATCACCACGTATCTCCTCAAGTGCTCGCCATCTCGATCAAAAACTTTCTGACAAAATAACGGTCTCCATGAAAACGTGTCACATCCGTTTTGGTTTGTCTTACTGGCAGGTTTGTAAGTAATGTACATATATTGTAAAACTGTAGGGTTATGGCTACCACCTGGCAATCA